TTCAACAGGATGAAGAACCGGATTTAGTGATTAAGAATAAATTACAAATGACAGCACCTGAAATTTTGAAAATTGATGATAAATTGAAAAAACGACCGGATTTCATTGATAGTAGGATAAATAAAGCAGAAATGCGATTGCTGGAAGCGAAATTTGAGGAACTGGAAAAGGAAATGAATGAGAAAAGACGAATCGAAGTCGAGAAAATTGTGAAGATCGAACGAAAAATTGTTAAAAAATTGGAAGACACCTCGGATGAAACTCTAGAAGTTGAAGAGAGAATAAAAGTCGAAAGAAGAATTCCAAAAAGACCTGAGATAGTTCTCGAAAAAATAGACGCAAATAAAAAATCAGAAGAGATCGACGTGAAACCTTTGACAACAAAAATTGTGAAAAAATCGGAAGAAATTTCGGATTCAATTCTAGAAATTGAAGAGAGAGTGAAAGTGGAGAGAAAAATTCCAAAAAGGCCCGATCTAATTCTAGAAAAAATAGAAATAATCAAAAAATCTCCAGAGATCGAAGTAAAACCCTCGAAACTCGATAGAAAAATTCAGAAGAAGATGGAACAAATTCCACTGGACACTCCTCCAGTACCAAAAGAGGATAGTGGACTTAAAGTAGCAATTAGGAAATTAATTCTGACGAAGAAAGAAGAATTAGAGGCGAAACAAGAATTGAATCCTCCAGGTGTCGAGGATTTTCCCAAAATTGAACCAAAAATTAAACGAAAACTGGAACCTATTCCAAAGGCCATTCCAATCACGAGGAAAGTCCCCGAAGAGCCTCCAACAGCTCCACAACAAAAGAAATCGACTGGAATAAAAATATCAACAGTGAAGGACAGCATAAGGAATATAATAAATCAATTCAAAGAATTTGAGAAGGATTTAGTCTCTGAGGATCCCGAGTCCTTGAAAAAATGGTCATCAACGGAGTCAACTGGTAATTCTGACTTCGAATCGACTGAAGGAGTTGATAAAATAGGTGCTGTATCCCTCGAAGCTAATTTCCACGAAGTTGACAAGTTGATTGTTGAAACTGAGGATCCAGTTGCTCTCCATGATGCCAAGAAGAGTCTCAAGGAAATAATCGATCAGTTCAGAATTCTGAGGGCTGAATTGTCTATTGAGAGTGATGATAGGTTCGAGGAGATTGCTGAGAAGTTCATGGAGAGACCAATTGCTGAGACACTTATGTACTTCAGTGAAGCCTTGAAGGATCTGATGGACAAGAGAAAGGAGAAAGTGAAAAGGATTGAGGGGTGGAAAAAAAATTCGGGGAATGGAGAGAAAAGGAGGAGAAGGCAGAGAGCAGAGGGTGAGAATAGTGATCTGTGAGAGTTGACAGATTTTTTTTTAAGAAAAAGGCCAGAGGCTTTTTAACGAAAATCCGGATTTTTCGAGTTTACACTAGTTGAGTAAAATCGAATTCCTTTTTTATTATGTCTTTTCATTTTTTATTATGTCGTATTGAAAATATTGATCTTTGGTCCTGCAGTGGCAGAATTTCATTGGACATCTCTTTAAGATTTTTCAAGAAAAAATATAGATTGTTTAATTGATAATCTACGTGTGGAATAAATTTATAGAAAAATTACTGTCTGCCAGGAAATTCTGTTCGCGTTCCATTGGGAATTGTATTATAATTTTTTTCTAATTTGTCAAACTTCTAGACGGAAGGACTTAATTTTATTTTCGTTTTTGGTGTCATTATTGGGATAGTTTGATAAACAGCAGTATCAGTCCAATCGCCTGGGCTTCATTAAAAAATCTGAAAATTGAGAAAATGTTTAGTTCTTCTTCTTCAAACCTCGTTCTACACTGGACTCTTGCATTTAGACAGAGGGCTGATGTTTCAAGTGCTCAAATGATTACCTCATGTTGAGTAATCGAGTTATTGGAATACGTGGGACGTATCAGATGTGCCTTAAGGATTCTTCCTGAATAAATTTTATTACGGACTATAAAGTGTGTGATTTATGATATTAGAAGCGAATGAAATGTATGTGGAAAATATATTATTATTGTTGTTAATTGATGGAAAGAAATGTTTTTGAAACATGAATTTGATTTATTTGGCTTATCC